GCTTGCGCCCCTTAGAAGCATTCTGTTTATTTCCAATTGTAAATCTTCACCAATAAAGCACCAATTTTTGGATCTTTGTCTCGAGAAGTCTGTTCTTTACACAATCATCTGAACCTTTTTTTAATTGTTAGCGACAACAAGCATTATCTTCAGTTGGTTCAGACCGGGTGAAAAACGATGATATACTCGCCTTCATAGGTTACATAAGCTTAAACAGCCAGGCATGCTCAGAAGAAACAAAAACTGGTGGAAACTTCATTTTCTTCCAATCAAGGCTAACCAAATCGGTGGAAGCTGAGTATTCTCTGACAAGCTGATCAATATTTTCATCTTCATCATTTTTACATTTTTTACTTTCCGGGATGGCACAAACATTTCACATTCTTTGTTCGTTCTCATTGCAATCCTTGTCTCAAGGCTTAATCTTTTTGTCTTTTTCCTCAGACTCCTAACCACAGTATCGGCATTTCCCTTCCCTCCTTTATCCTCAGTTCTCCCCTTTTCCTCCTTTGTCTTCTTCTCTTAACCATCTAATCTTTAACTTCCTTATCAGACAGACTACATTTGAATATGTATTCTAGTTTGGCGGTAGCTTCACTGTAATCTAAATCTAAAGTACTAAAAATTACTTCCTCGGTCAAAACAACATGTAATCATTCTGAACGTTTTTTTACAGTTCATAACCTCTTTTCATTTTCTTTAGCCGTCTCTATAGGTAAAGAAACAGATTCTTGAGGTGCAACCAATGTAATATTTTTTTATTTTTTATTTATTTTTTCTGTTTTGATTCTTTCGAACGGTAATATTACTGGCCTTCTATGTAGAGATAAATGTGATCAAAATTTTGTACTCAATACCAATGGACTCAGCAGACGTAGAAACAGTAACAACTCCCATGCCAACTCGGGTTATCCAAAAGTCAAGTGACAAATAAAAGAAGTTCACAACTCATCAATCCTAGAGAAGTAAAAAAATGGAATTACTCTCGAAAAGAACCGTCAACTAAACATCATTTGACACGTTGATGCATATATAGATCACTGAAGGATTAGCATATCAAGATTCGATACTAAACAACAAAATAAGCCTCAATGCTAATAAATTTGGAATCGATTACATGAATCATTTTTTGCCAGTTTTACCTGCAGGCGGCGGCAGTCACCAATTATTAGCACAATAAGAGACACAATCCCACATGAATACCACAGTCAGTAATCCCAAAAGTTGATCTTGAGTCGACCAAACATACAAATTATAATCTGTATTCACCAGTTTATATCTATACAGCCAACTCCCATCACCCCACTCCACTACACCCACCCAACACAAACTCGTACTCCCTCACCCTCCATCAATCTATGTCACGTCATTTGAGTAATATTATAACTTCTAAACGGTTAACATTTCCATTTCGGAAATCAAAACTTTTAATGGAAACTTTTGTTGGAAAAATTGAGATATTGGCTGACTTTGACATGAGTTTTGAGTGGGACCCGTTTGGTTATTTTGGAAGATAAAGATTGATTTGCATTCTCCTCCGTGATTACATCGAAATCATATATTTATTTGCCAAAATTGATCATCGGGTGAATGAGAAATTGAAACTCAAAGTGTGCTACTTAAAAGGAGTTTATGTTGGTGGGAGTGAGAAAACTAAAAAGGAGTTTGTTCCACATAGGAAGTGGATGAAAACAAAAACCACTTTATAAAGTATTACACTTTAGAATGATGTAATTATGTGTAGCATAGAGGCTCTCTCCACGTGCGCACAGGGGGTGCAAATCATGGACTGAAATAGGCTTCGGACCTTGAACTTTTCAACACACGAATTTCATCTGAATACAGTTCGAGTTTATCGTCGTTTTCAATTTTATTTCAGTCCTTGTGGTAATATTGTTCGGGTACTAACTCAGTTCGCAGGGTAAAGTGGTGGTCAGATTTTACTGTTCTATCGTTATCTATTTTAAGGAAACTGTATATAACACAGATCTCGGGTTAAAAGTTTATTACTGTTTCTTCATTATCTTTCTTGCTTGTTATTTCTTTCTGTAATTTACAAATTATTGGATTTGTTGTATACATAATTTCCTACACTATAAAAAGAGTGAGTTTTGTGGCACTATTCCTAAGCCATATGGCCACTGAAGCCGAGCCATATTTCGAGTTAGCCGGCTAGCCGAGCCATATTTCTCTCACCTTTTTTTTTTCCCTTCCCCTTGTAGCTTCTCTTCTCAGACACGCCATTTTTTCCATCTGATACACGCAACCTCTCCCCTCTTTCTTCAGCCTTTTCAGACTCTTCTTCCAACAACAATAATTTTCGTTCCTGTTCGAAATGGTGGGAAGCGGAAGAGAGCGCGAAAGGAGAAAAGGGGCCGGTCGCTGTATCAAAGCCTCCGCCTCCGAAGCAAGACAAAAAGGAGGTCGAGGAGGTGGGTGTTTTGCCAGCTGTCCGAGCACGGCATCAAATGATCCCAAGTGGCGAGAAGCAGAAGAGAGGACGGCAGGCGAAGGGGCCAGTCGCCGCTGCAGCAAAGCCTCTGCCTCCACCTCAGAAGCGGGAAAAACAGGAGGAGGAAGGCGTTTGCTTCATTTGCTTCGATGGCGGTTCTCTCGTGCTTCGTGATCGCAAAGGTGCGAAAGCGAAACCTTTAAACGCCGATTGCCGAAACCCTTTCCCGCCGAATCCACCCACTAGCAGCCGATTCTGAACCTACATATACCGTTGTTGAGGTCAGTAATTAATTATTTTCTTTGTTTTTCTTTTAATCACTACCTGTTCGAATATTGTTAGCAATATGTGATTCTTTTGGTATCTCTGTTTTTCTGTTATAGTAACATGTGGAATAATTTGAATTTTGTTGAAAATTTGGATTTTGGGTTATTCTTTTCGGTTGAGGTGGAGAAGATTGTGCTATGTGTTAATTCTTTTGTGTTTTCTACGAAGACTTTCACATTAGTAGCTATGGAATGGAAGGTAATACCTTTTAAATCCATTGAAAAAATTATAAAGCTTTTGTTACAATAATGGCTAAATTTCTTAAGGTTAGGAAAAATTGTGTAATTTAAGATTTATGGGTTTTCTAAAATTTAAGAATTTGAATGATCACATTTGAAGGTATACTAACTTTGGAAAAGTCTGGGGGACATCCTTATGATGCTTCATTTTAAAGTGCACTCTTACCGAATAACTGGATGCTGAAGTGATGTTATGTGCTTGGTGTTTTGATTTAATTGGCAGGTAACTCCGTGTTTAAAGCAGACAATTTTGCAGTTGGTTGCCAGTTGGTGCAAAACAATCAATCACACTGTGCATACTACATTTTGAAGAGTATGTTGAGCCATGATCTTTTCTTTTTCTAACTAGATCAAACCACTTAGTTCCATCCAGGATTCAATTTATGTTTTTTCTCTATTTCCTTGAAGTGACATTAACCTTTTTTTTTTTATTAATCTGTCTTTAATTGTTTGAAGGAACACAACTTCAACTATTTATAAGTTCGTAATGGGATTTTCACTCAGTTCTGATGAATTTTGGTATGTTTTTTGGCTGCAATACACTTGGTGAATGAACCTTCATCTTGAAATCGCCAGTTCAAATATTGATTTTTATCTGTTACGGTTGTAATTGAATTTTTCATTAGTTAATACATTTTCATTTCCGTGTCGCGTGTATTGAGATTATATATGTTCTTAATTATGTACTTTAAAAAAAAGTTGCTTGAGTTGTTTTGACCTGAGATTTTGTCATCTTAATTAACTGTCCATTCTGGAAATCTATGTTTGTGAATTCAAATGAAAGTTAGGCTGATAAATAATAATCTGCTATGTTTGTGCTCTTCTATTGTTACTTTGTTAGTTGGAATTCATTTGCATAATGTCTGAGACAATAAAGCCATATTAATCTTTGAAGACTTATTGGAATTGTTTTGAGGATGAGATTAGTGGCCACTCTACTAATCCTTATTTATTATTGTTATTTTCACTAATTTTCTGTCATGTATACTTCCCATGTCTCTGTTTTGAAAACTCCAAAAAATGGAGTTTTTTGGGATTTGACGGCGGACTTAAAAAGCCACCTACAGACGCTTTACGCCCAATCATTCCGGATTTTTTTCTTTCTGGGAAACTACTGCTTTCATTCTATAGCATATGAAGGCATGACTTTCATTTGTATATAAGCAACCTGTTGCTAGATACTAAATGCAGGTTGAATTTGATAAGTTTGAAGGAAGTTCAATGATTGCTATAACAGTTGCATGGGACAGTGCCCTATCATGGACATATAGCAAAGCAGTTTCTTCGGTTGAGGCTACAATGTGGCAGGTCTTAATCCTCCTATTTGCCCCATCATTTTTTATTTGCATTGTGGTCTTCCTGTACTCAATATATAATACTACCTTGCAGGTGTCTTCTGCTGTCAGGATATTAAATAAAGACGCTCCACAGGCTATTTTGCTTAGCCAGACACATATTCCTAACAAAATATTATGGGATTCAGCCGTAAGGCGAGCCTTGGACATGATAAACAGAAAAAACTCAACGTTGATAAAGGTTGAATATTTAGATATCCATCACTTCTAAAATTATTGAATGTCTCTTTACGTTCCCTGTTTATACTCTGTCCTCAATTACTTCTTCATGATAGCATAAAGTTGGATAATTTGAGGAAGGGGGCAAGCTTCAAATAATTATACACGCACACACACACATAATTTCTCTGGAAACTCCAACTTATGTCAACTCTACATCAATTTAAATAATCTGCTTCTACATTCTGATGCTTATTATTCATTAAAACTTTTGAACTCTGCAGGACATAAAATATTCTGTTCATGCGCATCCAACACTGTCTGAAGTTCTAGACGAGTTCTTCAAATCAGCAAAGGTAATATCTCATTTTCCTCAATAGTTGTTTTTTTTCCTGATAAGATCCCTAACTTTTGAGGTTATTTCTTTAAGCCTTTGTGTCTTAGAAATCATACAAGACTCCATTATTGAATTAGATTGAAATGTCACTTGTTAAGGAATAGGTAAGCTTGCTTTTTGGTTGATATGTTCCCAGTAGAATGAGATACTGACTCTATGTATAGGAGTCAATTGATATGAAGAAATAAATTATAATATTTCACTTTAAGACTGTACTTGAGCGCTTATTATGATAGTTTGAATTAACCGAAAACAATATATCTCCTCATAGAGCAGAGTAAGTGGAAATTTTCTGTAATATCTTTCTGGTCCCTTTGTCGTAGCAACCATTTGAAGTTTGTCGAGATGATGTTTTTATTGAGACGAACATTTCTCTGAAGCTATCTTTTATATGATGACAGTTTAATACTACTTCCTGTAGACCCCTTTCTTTTATTCATTTTGCTAATTCCTAAAGATAACGCACATTATGCCATTGCTTACGGATCATAATTTTAGATACTCGTACATTTTCCACGAGAGTGCTTGGTCATTCACAGGATATAGATACATATAAGAAATAGAATTCGTGAACAATGATTTTCCCGGTGGTTTTAGGAGTTAAAGCTACCAGCCTACATCATTTTTACTTGATTAAAGTTTCTTTTGGAAGAAGAATAGTTAAGTGTAAAAGATCACAAATATGGATACTTGATGTATAAATATTTTTAGCTAAAGTGTTACAAGTGTTTGGATGATGAATTTAATTTAAGTATGAACTTGACTGATCTTGACTGCACTTTTTCAGAAATAGTCTTAGTGTCCATATAGCTGCACAAAGTTGACGAACCAGAAAATGACTAAAATAAGACAAGCACCATTTTCATAGAAATTAAGAAAGAAAATTGAAAGTTCAAGTTGCTTCAGTATGTCTACCAACTATATAAGTACACTCCAGCTGTCAATGAAACTTATTTCTGTAAATTTTGCAAGCACAGTTATGCTACACCAACTCAAGGTAAGATTATAATCATAAATCAGGTATGTTTGCGATTTTAGCTAGGGCTTTTTTTTTGTTTTTGAAAATCTATGTTTTTTTAGTATTTTTTCTTATCATATTATTAATGTTATGATGATTTTCTGTATGCTGAAGGCTGCTAACGATCTAGACAAGGATGTAATTCCTGAAGATTCTAGCCTGATTGAGTGCAAGGTTAATAGATTTATCATTTTCCATATCCATATGTAGGTATCAAGTTTATTAGACTTCGTGTGTCTTTCTAATCAATGTTTAAAACGTTACAATTGGGAAAGTGATGCAGAAGGCTCAGTTAAGCCTCTGTAAATTGAAAGTTTAGCCTTGACCAACGGTACCCAAACGTAAAGTTAGCAATTAAAGCCTAATGTGAGGAATCTCTCAAGACATAAGCCTTAGACAGGTTTTTAAAACAATGATTCTAATCTCAAAATTTTGTGAGGGCTATGGATTTTTCTTTAGTTATTATATAGGCAAAATAATGTTCGCAGTTGTGCTTTCCTTTTTCTTCTGCTGACATTCGTCTTCAGTGGTTGCTTTAACTTGAAATCAAATTTTTGTTCATGTTAAAAGCTGACCATTGCATATACAATACATCTATTGTCTTTGCTTGCCTATTCTCTGGCTTGAATAATCTAATAAATAGATATTCTACAGGAACTGTAAACATGGTTGCTTTGTTACTTTTTGTCAGTATTACCGAACAGCCGAAGGGTACAAGTATGGAAAATCTTGCAGATACTGGCACCATGGAGAAGAGTCTCAAAATATTGTCCCGAGCTTAACTTCTTACGTTTGCCAATACGATTGGTAATGCTGCATCTTATATCTCTTCCCGTGATTGTTTCTGTTTTCGATCATTACTCGAGGTTCTTCTTTGAAGCTAATTGCATTTTACTTTTGATTAGGGAGAAAAAGAGTGTCCCTTGTACATGCGTAATGGCACCTGCGGATATGGATTTGGTTGTGTATTTAACCATCCTGATCCTACTCCAATGACAGGGATGAGATCTCCCAACTCATCAGTGGACGAAAAATTTGGGAGACAGTTAAGCCATCCTTTAGAAAACCATAATGGTCTTCCAATTAATTTTTCAGGAGCTTCACAACTGGATCAAGGTAATTTGATTCGTATTATGCGCTGTTTTGTTTTGTGGCTATCATTTATCTTGATCAAATAATAAGGAAGTTATTCATGTGCATACATTTTAAACTTCTAAAATATGATATATAATGGGGTTGGGAAGAAGAACGGCACATGCAGTGTTGTGTGTGTGATAAACCGTTGTTCCAACTCCAAGTTGACTTCGCGTTACCTTTACTTCTTTATGTTGCGAGGTTGATGGTTATATTTAATTTTTTCCTATGTTTAATGTTTATTTGCTTATTCCGAAAGTAGAATGGTGCAAGTTGTTTTCTTGTCATGAGAAATGTGTACAAACTCCATACATTTAGACTCGACAGTTGTGCTTTTTGAAATGGAGAGTAAACCAATGCTAAATGAAGTAATTTAATAAAGGTGCGCTAACTGGTGTTTGAACAAAATGAATTGGTCCTACACAAAGTTGAACATTTTGACATGCCTAGATGTTTGGAATGAGATAAAAAATGAGTTATTTGATCTATTAATAATACAAATATTTTCAATTTAAAATTGTTCCAGTCTCACTATTAATTTTGAGAATTTGGTTGCTCAAAAGATCAGATGCTGAGTTTGAGTTTTTCTTTTTATTACTAAATCAATTAGTGATAAGTGGAACACAGGAC